GAGCATTAATTTGGAGTCTCGAGACTTAAAATAAATTTTACAAATTTTTCTCATTTTAAAAATATTTTTAAAATTAAAATCGGTATTAAAACAAGCTTCCGGAACTCAAAATAGGCTTAAAAAGCTAAATGGGCTGAATCTGCCCCAGATCTGGGCCTAGCTCCCAACAAATTTGGGCCACAACAAGCAATTGGGCCGCACCTAAGGTCTGCAGGACACGGGCCGGGACTGGGCCACCCGTGGGCCAACAGCTGAGAGATAATTCGGGCCGCGCGGGCTGAAATGCAGGCCCTAAAGCCCGCGCGGGCTGAAATGCGGCCCTCAAGGTTCGAACTCTGAACCTCGCTTGTGATATTTGGCATGCACACCACTGCGCTACACGACTGGGTGTTAGTCTAAATGAATTCATAAATTAATGAATTAACCCAATGTCTGCAATTAAATACAGACTGAACAGAGGGAAAATAACCGAACAGAGAGCTCTGCAAATTTTTACAGAAATTGAAGGATGCGAACAGACTGAACGAAAAATTTACTGAACTTGACCACGACATAACTAACGGCAACGAAATTCGAGCGATTATAAAAAATAACATATTTTTAGAGTTCCAAAATTTCATAAAAACGGTTTTATAAGGATCGAAAATGGAAAACGGCATAACCGGCTCCAACCGAACAAATATATACAAACGGCGACTCGGACATAAAATTGATACTTCGAATTCAACCGAATTACTCACAGCAGCAATGAGACTCAATTAAATACGATACATGAGAGTTCCGATAATCCACGCAAATTCACGAACATATAACGAAAACAAATGAACAAAACGAATATAAACCCACGGCATCAACGGATATCAAAACAACGAACACAAATGGATCGAACGAATTCGAAAGCGGCCATTGATATAACGAGGAGGTTCAAAATAAGTTACCCGTCTTCGGGAATATCGGAAAGACGGGCCGGACGTTTTGCGAGTGAAGGAGTTCACTGGTGAATGGAACCTGGCTAATGCTCACGCTAACGGGTTGCTCGAGGTGGTTGAAGGCCGAGGGGAAAAAGGTGAATCAAAATCGAACAGAAATTCCTCGCTGTCAGTGTGCGTCTCGTTTGATCGAAAGTGGTAGAAGTTCACTGATGGTCTCGTCGGTGCTAGCCCGAGGGTTCCAGCGTACAACGGGGCTGAATTTGAAGGGCTTGTGACCGATTTGGTGATGATCGACTTTGAAATGGGAGAGGAAAGAGATATAGAGATTTGAGGAGAAATCGCAGGGAGTATTGAGAGAAAAAGAAGAGATCGACATCAATATAGAGAAGGGAGAGATATTTTCGTTTTCAACTGATAAAAAAAAAACATTAAGGTCATTAAGTTAGGATTAATGAAAAAATTAATCTCCTTAATTAAGTTAGTAATTCAAATAATCATCAAGAGAAAAAAAATAGACCGGTTAT